ATGAGTAGGGAAAGGCATAATACCTTTTCTCCAGATAAAATTTCAGACATGAAAACCCTTCTGCTGTTATCACTGTGGTATAAAGTTTGAAACGGAGTGGTTGTATAAATCTGGAACAGATCATGAAGAAACTTGCCTTTTTTGGTCTTTTGACAGTATTTTTTTTCTGAAACTGGGTTTTCCAGGGAGCCGGTTTTAAAACCCGTTTCACTGTCAGGTGTGTCAAAGATAAATGACAAATGCACTTATCATATAGATATTTCTTATGTCCTGTAGATGCATAAACTCTTCAGCTTATGTCTCAGTAAGTTCTGTGATTGTTTCTTTTTATTCCCAATGAATATTATCTATAGATGACATTTTAGAGGATAGTAGGAAAGTCTTCGAAGATGTACATGCAGATTTTTGTGACATCAGAAAAATCCTGTTGAAATTCCAGGAATGGAAAGAGAAGTTTCCTGACTCTTACTGTGATGCTTATATCAGTTTCTGCCTGCCTAAGCTATTAAATCCATTGATCAGAGTTCAGTTAATAAATTGGAATCCTCTTGAGGTAGGTGTATCTGCTGACTCTGTTTTCTTCAAAAATTGTATGTGTGTTTGTGTATTATGTATTAATATGAAAAATGAGATGTTTTTTCTATACATAGCACAGTGCATTAGAAATGAGTAGAAAAATACTGTGTTGGCCTTAGAAATTGAAGCATATGGTTGGAATATTCTTTAACTTTCTCCTTTCCCCTTACCTCCAGCCCCTTTTACAACACCTTTTGTAAAAAGAATTCTTCTCCCAAGTTTTGAAGACACCTTAACAATCCCACCCTTTAAATTCTGGCTTTAAATCTAGTTTTCCTGATTTACTTTTTGGCTTGTTGAGTGATGAGGGTGGATCTGAAATAAAGTGGGAATCTGTGGTATCATTGGATGGAGCCTTTCTTTTAATCCTGACCCAGCTGAACAACTAACAGGAATGATCTTTCAGCAGAATTTTCCAGAGTTGGAAGAGATGCCCTGGTTCAGAGGTATAGAAGAATTCAGTGGTGCCAAAAATGCATCTGAATCAAAAGGGGATGGTGATCCTGATCAAGAAGTTTTGCCTAGAGTGATTGAAAAAACTATTCTTCCAAAAATTACAGGTATAGTAAGATTGTCTTGAAAATGTTCATTGCAGCTAGGCAATCAAAACTTAAATAAAAGCGATAGCTATCAAACAATGTTAGTTATATAATGGTGCTCCAAGAGGTAGTGTTTGTGTAGTTCCACAGGGTGAGGCTAAGGTAACCTCTTTTTAAGATTATTGTGTAGGCTTAGCTTTTTACAATGTAACAGAAGTGAACATATAATGCCTTGAAACTAGAGCGGATAATTGTGAATGAAACAAATTCCTTTTTTTTTTTTTCAGCATTTGTAAAGAGTGTGTGGGATCCTTTATCTACGTCACAGACAAAGAACCTTGTACAGCTTTGCAATAACATCTTTGAAAAACAAGTCTTTTCCAAAAATGAATGCAGTCGAGCGAAAGAGGTAAAAGCTCCTGTGGTATTGGGGAAGGGAGAACTTCATCCATGGTGTGAGCTTTCTGTGCGTGCTCCTACAGGCGCTTAAAACACTGTCCTGAAGTTGTTCAGTTCTGATTACTTGTTTGTTTTGTTGCTTTATATTAAGAAGATTTAAGTTAAACTTCCAGTGCTCTGCTGCTCTTGTTATTGAAGATGATGGGAGATGGGACACTCTTGAGGCAGAAATTAGCTCCTGTTCCTAGAAGAATTCTGCCTGTACCTATCAAGAATCTGATCGTAGATCTAATCTTGCTTCACTGCAATAATAATGGTTAGAGTTTAATTATCTTTCAAAATTTTGAGCTTTAAATGCTAATAATGCTCCAGTGGTCAACTCCTTAAGCTTTTATTTATAAAGTAGATCTAGAATTTTAAAACTTGAAAATCCCCAAAGGTTAATTAATTGGCTAGGAGAAAGACTACTTTGTAATCTTAGCAATCTTTTAGTAATTACTTTCATAGACATAGTCATTCTAGCATGCCCTTCTTTGGCCTGATTCTGGTTTTATTCTGATGTAAATCTGGGGGTTTATCTACTATAAAACTGGTGAAATGGGATGGATGTTTAGGCTCTGAGTATGAAAAGAATTATTTTTAAGAAAATATTCCTGCCTTCCAACTAAGCCTTCCAAAGGTTGCCAATTTGAAACCATGCCTTGAAGAGAAGTGGTACAACTGACCTTAGCCAAGATACCGTTTGTACAGAAAGTAAACCAGAACTTTAAATAAATAAAAAGCTTTAAAAAAAAAAGAAGTAGGTGGTAGTCTATGGCACCTAAAAGCATGTTGCCTAAAAATGCATACTATCCTAGCTGTGGTGACTTTTTTTTAACATAGAATTTCACAGCTTTTTATGGACATCCTGTGTACATAACATATTTTGTTGTTAAACTATACAGTTTTCCATTTCCAAACTATACTGCCTTGCAAATTAACATGCAAAAAAGGTCTCATTTAGGGAAATAACTTCATATTAAAAAACCAAATCCTCTAGGCTAACCCTGTAGATAATTACAGCTGTGACTTGTCTTCTGTTTTTAATATATTCATGGTCTTAGTGTGTATTTTATACAAGTGGCAACTGTACTTAACTAATTAGCATATTGCTCTTCTGGATAAACAAAATAACAGTTGAAGTTACTATAAGCGGAAGATGAAGTCTTTCTTGTGAGGACACATTAATTCTTTTTAAATAGGATTTGATGAACATGGTTGTCTTAAGAATGAAGAAATCTGTAGAGGAAGATGTCTTTATTCCTCTGTATCCTAAAAGGTAAGCTGACTCTTGGACTGTTTTAAAACTTTTTTTTTTAAATTCCTGTACCCCTCTTCCCCAGATGCAGATGAAATATTGTAGACATCCATTAACAGCTAATGGAATAAACATGCCTTCTACTGTTCTATTATAGGAAAGGTTATGAAACCTTATTCCTGTTTATGAACCCTTTCTAATAAGGGTAACTCTTAATACTTTTAATACTCATTCCTAAAATAGGGTTTATATTGTTGATGCTTATTACTGGGCAGTATTTCAATGATGGGAATGGGTAGGAGGCTGGGAGATGTGGAGTTAAGATACAGCTAGGAGAGAGAAGCTTTGCTAAAGCTGGTGTAGGATGTTTGGTTCTAAGCAATGCTGTTTTGATCTGAAGCCGTGAGACGCAGACATGGGTGTTTCCAATTACCAATTTTGTTGGAACTTATTTCATAGTAGTTGTATTATTATGGGTTCAAAATGACAGCGGTTTCCCTAGACTTTTATTCTGATTGTGGCTGTCACTGCTGAAAGAATGCCAGAATTAACATTTGTCAGTAGCTAAGATATCAATTCTCTGTTTTATCTTTTCAAAGCAAACAAAAAAATGAATCCTTATTTTACCTTTTTCTTTCCATGACCAGCACCATGGAAGACAAATCATCACTATGTTCAAAATTTCAAGAAAGACGGTTTTGGTCAGCTGTTAAGGTAGAAAAAACATACCTGATTTTTATTTTGAAATTCATTTTAGTGAAACAATATTTTGCAGTCAGTCAGGAAATATATCTCCATGCAAGTCTGAGTCCTGAGAGATGATTACATTTTTATTAGGATGGATAACCATTTTTCTCAGTGAAGGATGTGTTCTCAGAGCAACCTGCATGTGATGATTTAAGAGTGAACTATAAATGAATGCTTTATTTCTGTTTACCCAACTGGTACATCTTCTGCAAGAGATTTTGATCTGACCATCTGTTCCTGCTGGTTTGTTTGTTTTGTTTGTGTGGTTTGGTTTTTTTTTTTCCTCTTGAGTGGGTCAGCCAGGCCTGTTGGCCTTACATCATATTATTTAGTCGTTGCTGCTCTGCTAACAGGTTGTCACCTGACACTACAGGTACAGAGAGGTTCTTTTGGGGGATCCTGAGGAGAATGATGGCACTAAGTTGTAGGTACAACTAAAGCTTTTTTTTAACAGAATTTTAGAATCAGCATAGCATGGTATTTCATGATCAGAGTAGCACAGGATTTTTATAATCAGAGTCAGTGTAGCACAATTTAAGTAGCATAGCACAGCATTTATAGTGCAGCTTTTGTTATAGTTCCTAATCACCTGGACCCTCTGCAGATCCGGTCAAATCTTAATATTTTGCTTGCAGTATCAATAATATAACAGTTGTAATCTAGACTAGAAACATGTAAAAGAATACGAGTCACTTGGTCCTTGGAGGAAGCAGAGGACAGTGGAGGTGTCCCTGGCCGCCACAGGGGCTCACAGGTCTCACTGACCAGCAGCAGTTCTGGTGCAAGTTCCCCTTAGGACTTGTAACCGCTTGATTTTATAGACAGCACTCTGTGCTGTTACATTTCCCTGTTCTGTGACGGGGTCATCACCACCACTTGGCTGGCTGGGTCCCTGGGTCCTTCAACATATGCATATGCTGAAGCATATGCTTCAAAGACTTGCCACTTCTGCTCCTGGGGTGAGCTGCTGTGCAGGAATCTGTTGTGCACAGATTAACAGAAAGCAAGAGGGAGCTTAATACTCGGGTTAGGACACCTAGCAAAAACCAAGGCAGACTTGGGATTCTGATCTGACCTTCTAGGACTGTGTTGTGTTGTCCTGGAAGTCAGACCTGGGTGCTTCCTCCTGCAGATCGAAGTTTTCTCCTTTTAGCTTTTGATTTCTATCTTCACTGTCACAGTGGTTGTCTTTGAAGGGGTGACAATGGAGAGTAGTTTAAAGCGTTCTTGCTCTGTATGTCTGAGTAGTTGTTACATCATTTTTTCTGGAGTGGAGGTGTGAATTCAGTCACCCCAGGGTAAATAGTGCTGCAACTCATCTGTGTTAAACTCTTGGGACCTACTTTATACTTAGACTAGTGTAACTCATCTCTGCTTGAGACTGCTCTCTGGCCCTGAGACCCACTGCCATTGTGCAGCCCCGTTCATGCTGTTAAACCCTGGCTTTCAATATGGGTTGCCATCTTCACAGTGCTTATTAGGAATGGCCTTTAAACCATGCCCAGAAATTGTATGGAAGAATACTAACTGGCTTGGGTGAGAAGTGAGCCAGGATCTCTTCTAATGCAAAAGTACAGATGATGGAGGTTGTACAAACCAGTGTTTGTACCCTGGTATTGCCTAACTTGCCTAGCGTAGGTACAGTGCGTAGCTTCAGGGCTTAAACATGCTTCTTGGTACTACGCGGTGTACTTTCCTGCTTAATGCTGGCCAGTGGAAGCACTCCTTTTTCTTTGATCTATGTTTTAGTCGCTCGTGCAGTTAGATGGAAGTGTCCCATCGGATGCTCCAGAGAAACGTGCAAAGGTGGTGGGCTTTGTGAGTGCTTTTTGACTGGTGACTGCAAAGATAGCATGCTTGTGTCTGTGAGGGTAAATTACCTCGAGGTTAGCACCTTAAAATTAACCTATTCTGAGTTAAGGGAAAAAATAGTCATGTTCTTACATCAGACTCAAAAATGACAACAATTACAAGGATTTATAGTGATAGAGGCAACAGAAGAAAACTCTCAGTACCTAATAATACTGAGATCAACTACAAAAAAAGTGCTGCTATGAACCGTGGCTGCCAACCTCCCTCATGTTATGAGGGACTTGTGTGTAGTCTTATCCTGAGCAGATGTATAACTTTTTTGTTTTTTACTTCTGTCTTGGATTCTCTGAAGGTTTGCTTAGAATTGAATGCCCCTTGTTCTTGGTCTGTATTTCTTGTAGGGGGGAGTGTCTTAAATACTCTTTCCTTCTTTCACGCTTTCAGATATGGCTGCTAGCTCTTCTGTGAAAAGAATAAACTATAGTTGTCTTCTGTACTTGGGCCTGAGCAAATTGTGAACCTATTAGAAGGTTAAAATGCTCATCATATATATATATTAGGGTACAGTTCATATGCATATGTAAAATTAATCCTACTTGATAAGATTATTTACTATATGTAGCTTATTAGTGGCTAACTGACAGTAAATTTGGAGACAGTGAATCCTGGGTTTTGAGTACTTAAATGGGGTGGACATAATATATATTTTTTTTAAACATAAAACTCTTAATACTGTGTTTTAGCACACCTCTAGCCACCTAGTGTGCATATTCTCTGTTTCTTCATTACTGCAGCTGCTCTCCAATATTCTTCTTTGGGATGGGATTGTACAGGAAGATACGGTCCGTGATTTGGGACTGGGCAAGCTGCTGAATCGTTACCTTCTTCTGAACCTCTTAAACACACCACCAGGGCCGGATAATATAGAAAAGTGTAATAAGGTAAAAGTTTACATGTATGTTGGAAGAAAGTGTATGCTAAAAGCTTTTTTTAATAAAGAGGGGTCTAGACTGAAGATGGACTATTTAAAAATTTTAACATTTCAACAACACTTAAAAAAAACCTGTAAAATTTAAAATGTTTTTGATGACCTTGGTGCATAGAAGCATTTTAGAGCAAACATTGGTCCATATGTTCCTAAGAATAACCACCTGTAGGGATAATCAATCTTGGTTTCAAAGAAAAAACACACTACTGACTGAACCTGCCAGCAAGAAAAAGTCCCTGTCAGAAGTGATGTGACTTGGTTATATTGAAAGACTTTTCTTTTTAAACCTCTCCAAATATTTTTTTGTGTGAACAGGTGGTTGCGTGCCTCCCACAAAGATGGTTCCAAGATCTTAAAAGTGGGTCAACTCTCCCTGAGTTACTGAACTTCTGCCAGCACTTGCTGCAGTGTGCCCGTATGCTACACAAGAATAACCACAGGTAATGGATAAGGCTTTCCTTGGGATTCAAGCACTTCCTCGTACGCTTTGCGTTAAATACTTCGAAGTTCCTCAAGTCTCATGTATTTGACACTTTCAAGGATGTTCTCATCCCATATATAGATAAAACAAAAGATGGAGTCCATAATGTAAAGGAGTGCTTTTGCAGTTCTAGTTTAATGTGATCGTTCAAGGTGCCAGATGTTGGGTGCTGTTACTGATCAGTGTAGCCAAGGTCAGCTGATGACAAGGGGCCAAAGAGAGATACCCGACTCTCTTTAAAATTAGTAAACATAAAGCGTACTTAAAAGTCAGTGCCACTATATAAAATTTTTCTTTTCTTCCCCCCCCACATAGTGGTGAAACAAAAGAAGTTCTTCTCTTGCTGGTGAAGGTCAAAGCTCTGCATATTGTTGAAGACTTCATTGAAGAGTACAAACTTGAACACCTTAGATTTGTGATTGGGAAATAGGAAATTCTGGGAGGAACACTTGTATGGCTGAAAGAAGCCTGGTATTAATACTAAAACAGTTCTAAAATGAAATTTAATTAGTGGACCCTGCCTACTGAAAGATGTAGTGGTAATCACTGTCTTACTGTTAAATACTTGAGGATTTTTTTTTCCAAATGTCTTCTACTGCCATCTATTCCTAGGTTAAGGAGTCTTTAGAAGTTACAGTTGTCAAAGTAAAGCGATGGTTCAGGCATTCTAGAACATATGACAACGCTTTGTTGCTTTATCCTTTTTGGAAGGATTCCTGGAAAGAGAGTGAGTGCCTGTAAGGTTTATCGCTGTTAGTGAGTAGCCAACTTTACAAGCTGGTTTTGGTATTCTGTTGCTAAATATCAGACTCTGACTCTGCAGTCATTGAGCTCTTCTGACTTGGGGTCCACAGTGATTTTGGTAGGGTTATCGTTAAGCCAACCCTGACGAAAAAGAAATCAGAATGTTGCAGGGGTTTTGACCGTGATGCAAATGAGCAGTCAGTGTGCAGGTAAGGAGTTTGATGAATGTTTATTGAAAGTAAACGTGGGTTCAGTGAGGTAAGAGCTGCACAGAACATCTGGGGAGAGCAAATGCGTAGTGAAGATAGTGTCTGATGTGCGTACTTCTGTACTTGAGAGATACAGACTTATCTCATGTGCGCATGCTTGGAGCTGTCACACATCTTGCTTTATCAGGCTTTTAATGACAGACATCTTGATGATAAGCACAAGAACAACTTCAGTTACTTTCTAGAAAGTGACACTCTAGGGAAGTCTTCCTCTTGCTTCCCAGTAAGATCTACTGAACCTTACTTCATCATACCCTTATTAGATTTCTGATGTTTTATAACTTTTTATATTTGCAATAAATGGTGTTACAGAGTAACAAGGATGCTTCATGGTAGAAACTGTAGTGCATCATGGACTGTATGCTTACTTGTGCCTGTATTTCTCAAAAATCTTCTGGGACTAAATTTAACTCTTGCAGACTTAATCCATATGACTTCTTTTATTTTTTAAGTTAAATATATTTTTGTAAAACATTTTAACTGTAAATAGCTTTGATCAGTGTTACAGACAAAAGATGACTTTTAAAATAATTCTTTTATTTTGAAAAGAAAGTAAAAGTATTTTGCTGTGTTAATGACTCCTACAGTTCAATTCTTTAACATGTCACAAGAATGTTAGTAGAAGTATGAAAAAACCTCAGACACCATTAGCCTTCATTACCTTCAGGAGTTATGTTGCAAATCCTGCTTTCTAATAATGGTGAATTTCTGTTGCTTTTCCTCTCAGAATGCCAACAACCATGCAATAGCTGCTCAGCAATCACCACAAGCTCATGATCTCATTGCTTTTCTCTTGTTCTCCTTTGTCTCATCCCAGCTAAAGGTCTCCCCTGAAGCAACCAGCCTTGGGCTGTTATAAAATATAATAGATGTTCTATCACTGTTTAGCTCTGTAAATCTTTATTCCAGAAAGAAAGATCACTTCTAAGCATGGGAAGACAGTTAACACTTGAGCTCAGAAACCCTTGTGCTTCTACTATGGAACTACAGTTCTATGAAACCTACTTCTTTTTGAGAACATACTCTGACACTTTGTGAGCCCTTCATCGTGAACCTTACACCAATTCATGAGATTTGGCTTAAACTGGCTCAGTTCTTCACTACTGATTTTGGAGCATTTGTATTTGCTGCTCTATCAGAAACATTTTTTTTTTTTTTTAAATGGTAAAACTAACCAGCACTTACTCTGGGAGAGTATGGTTGGCTCAGACATGTCTACTTTCCTGCTATAGCCCATTCCTGAAGGTGTGAGTCCAGCAGTTCTACCACTGGCCACTACCTGCTCTGTAAAGAGAGAAGTCACAGAAGTATCTGGAAATGACAACACAACTAACCCGAATGAGTGATACAAACCCTTCTTTTTAACTGTAATTTAAAAAAGGAGGCTTCTTGTTTCTGGAGCAGAGGTGAACGTAACCTTATGCTCCTCAGAAAAAGGAGTGGCTGTTTTCATGAACAGAAGGTTAGTGTTCAACAACAAAATTTTGTACACGTTGAATTTTTCTGGAAAGGTTCACTTTATTGTGTGTTTTGCCTATGTATATATACAAAACTTGGCAAGTGATAATTCATACAGTAAATTCAAAGTAAATACTAATTCTCTCAGTAATTCCTAGACTGCAAAACCCATTATTTTTTAAGCTCTTCACTCACTTCTTTCCAAATTTTCTCCTCTATTTTTGAAGTATCATATTCTCGCAGCATATCAAATTCTAGCCACGGCTGGCTCCACTTCTGTGCTTCTTTCATTTTTTTTTCAGGTAGCTCAAACTTTATTCCTTTTACATTGTATTTTGGCCTTTCCCACCGTTTTGACCATGGTTTAGGTTTCATTCGTACCTGCAGCTAGGGTGAAAGATTTAAAATTCCCGTTACTTAATACCTTTTGGGTTTTTTTTTTTTGATTGTGAGCTTAGCAAAAGGTGAGATAACTGTTGCTCTAACAGAAGGAAAATAAGAGAAAACAGACCAATTTGTCAGTATATTAAGGAAGTACTACTTTACACTGTTAAGAGAAAAGGAATTTTTTGTGTCTATATGACTGTTGTCACAGTATCTTGTGAAACTTTTTAATTAACAGTCTTGATTTATTACACAGTCCTTAAATTGACAGATAAAGTGAAGTTAACGGATCTTCTGTATTTCTACTCCTGTTCCTTATTAAGGAAAAGCAGCATGACAGGGAAAGGGAGGAATGTTCACTGTGAGTTACCAGACAGCCCTCCCTGACAGGGTCTGCTGGTTTCTGGATCTTCTCCGAGATGTGGATTTTAGCTGACTCTTCCAATCTTACCTACCACTCCCAACTCAGTAGCAACAATAACATTTCTGTAAGAAAAGCTTTCCCTTCTGCACAGTGTTACATAGAGGCAGGTGGAGGCTGCTACTCCTTGCATGTCTTAAAAATTAACTACTGAGAATGGTAGATATTTACATTCTCAACATTCTTTCACTACAGAAATGGCATAAAGACTTGCCTTATTTTGTGTACTTTTGTCACCCTGGTAACTAATGCAATGGAGAGCTGTTTAACAGCCTTCCAGGATATCAGTCAGAGATTAAAGTTACCTAAATTATCCTCCACTTTCCCTCTGAACCATGCATCCCCTACCTTGTTTACAGGAATTTCTTCGTGGTCTAAACGAGACACAGGTTTCATATTCATATCAAAAGTGCTATATTCAGGGAGGGCATCTCGCAGGTACATCAGGTTGTCATCCAGCCTCTTTTCTAGCTTAAGAACCTCGATCGCCTGGATTCGAGGATTGTATAGTTCATAACATACTTCAACACCTTAGAGAGAGAAAGTCTGGTTTAATGAACCAAATTCATTAGAAAGACTAATGCCAAATTAGTATTTCTTCAGTGTTATACATTCCTGTATTATTCAAGAACTGCTTTTTACTTATCAGAGAACTACAGTATACAGTGCTGTGGGCACGTGATTGTACACGTGCATTGTGTCTACACAGGCAAATGCAGATTTCTTCTGTAAGTCAAGTCTTTGATAACAATGGCTTAAGGGACATTGAATGGCTTCAATTTAAGGAAGATGAGCTTGGGTTTTAAACTTTACTCCCTTTTGGTTTCAATGGTTGTTACCATCTATCTCGCTGTATGTGTAGCGTATATAAAGAGACATCCACCCCTTTCTTATTTGCTCACAGAACATCAGTATTTGCATCTTCCCCCCATTTTGTCATAAACCAGAATATGAACCTATTATAAAACTCTGCTAATCTGTGGCTTGTTAAACAGTTCACGGATGCGGCCTCGGTTCATGCAACTACACAGCGCTCAAAACTGGGCTGGTATTTACATGGCTAACAGTAGACTGCCCAGGCTCAAAGATAAGCACAACCGTAGCGGATCACATTCAGTCTCCCAAGAATACACATCTAAAAATCACTAAGCATATAGACAAAAAATTACTAAGCAGTTCCATGCCTTCAAATATATAGCACAACAACATCTCTGTGTATACAGTTTTAAACCTGCAGTATCCCTGAGTAGGTAGGCTCACGATTTCACTTTAATCTGTTGCCATCCTGTCCGCAGACTAAATTTCTACACCAGCTATGTCTTCACATACAACTTCAACATTTTTTGCTTACCTTTTCTAGCATAATTACCACAGTTAAAAACCCACCTTGGTCTTCTATAACATTCCGAAGGACAAAGGTAGCACCAAGTCCTTTTCCTCCTCTTTGAATGCAGATGCCTACAAACCGGTTGGTTTTTTCATTGGCATAGGGATCTGCAGTAGTAACAGCAAGTACGCTGCCTGCCAAACAAACAAAAAACCAAAAAACCTGTAGACTGTTCAAGTAAACACATACCAAAATGTGAGGAAAGAGCCACAAAGTGCATGTTTTATTTTCCACTAAAAACTGCCAAAAATGGAATAAACTTCCAACATGTCCTGGATTAATGTATGTTAAAGTGATTCTGCAGGTTAACTATGAAGCTGCTTCAACTTTAAACCTTCACCTTTATCTTTTACTCTTCGTTATGCAAATTGAATACCAATAATTTAATGTATTTTCCTTTCTTGAGCTTTACTGGTAAACCATATGCTAAAGTGCCAGGATTTTAAAAAAATGTAACAAACACATTAGTATTACATTTTTAATGGAAACTGGATACAAGTATGAAATTAAAAGACAAAGTAGTAAGCATAGAAACACACACTAGTTCATGTAACACACCTGATACTGTGATGGTCTGTGATATTCTACAACATCCAACCACCCTTTTTACTATCCCACCCAATGAACAATATTGATAAAACTATGAAAGTTCTGTTACTGACCAACATAGAACTCTGGGATGTTGAAGACTTTTCGTCTCTGTATCATATCTTTTCTTTCTATATAGAATTTAAGAGGATCTGTTCTCCCTCTGGGAGGTATAAATT